GTACTTGAACTACGGTAGTACGGTTAACTTTTATGTTACAGACACGTTGACGATACCTCGCTCCTGTGGAGGATGGTTTCCATTTGTGGAGGTACTTGCGTGCAGAATAAATGGTACTTTAAACAACAGTGTGAATAAGAAACCTATCAAAGTGCCAGATGATGCATCAATTTCCCCTCCCCCTTCTTCCCAACATCCGTAATCGTGGGACCTGTTCAAACGCAATACCACTGGAACATAAAACTTTCCGGACATCTGTTCACTCGAACAGCAACTTTATTGTTGAACTAGTGAAAAATCAGTATGCGAAGACTGATCCACGAACAGTTCAATGAAATGGACTGGGAGCTGAAAAAAAGTTTTGAGAAAACTTTTGAATTTGTCCCCTCATAGTCATCCAGTACCGAAAGAACCCAAGTGAAATGATGATGTTTCATGACAAAATGCAGGGTAACCACAATCCACAAATCCCTAGACAAGTTTGACAGTCTCCTGTATAAGAAAGGCATCGTACCAAAACAAGAGGTTGCCGGGAAAGTGTTCCGGCAAAACTGCTCAGGATGCGAAAATTACATTGGAGAAACCGGAAGGAAAGTGAAGGAACGGGTCAATGAACATGTTTTCTTTCAGCGGAGCAGTTGAAAACGGATATACGGTGTCTTAAGATAACATGCAAAAGAACTACGTCATGAAGTGGGATGCAGGCTGTGTCGTCTTCACGAAAGCCAACTGGCAGAAAAGAAAGGTATTGGAAGCAGTCATGATGCAGCAGACAAACAGCAAAATCAATAGTCAGGAAGAAACTCACAAACTGAGCCCAGTATGGTTTCTTCTGTTAAGTAATTAATTGGTGAATAAACGTGTCCTATTTTACCTCACATTTTCAGTTACAGACTCATCACCACACTCTTGCTAAATTGCTTTAAATCCCAAAACGTTCAAATATGCATGAAGAGAGAGGCATGTCCCTGGCACCAAAATAGAGCTCGTCATTCAAAAAAATAGGAGGGCAACAACTGTAGGGTCGCCCCTTCCCACAGATGGCTCGCCTAAGTGAGATGCATGATCGTTGGATATCTTTCTCAAGATTTAACAGTGGTTGCACACTCCCTGATTCTGAACTAAATTATTCAAATAATAAAACGAATGGATGTATTTAAATGAACTAATATTTGTAAGCTTTAATCTGCAAAAAGTCAGTGCTTATATCGCCTAGATCTTCCGCCCAAGTCTAAACTTTTTTTACGAACACCTACCATATGTTGAAACGTCATTTCAACTGAAACTAGCTACGTCATCTGTGGCTCATGAATGATTTTCACCAACTCAGACAAGACTCTAAAATCATCTCCAGCGTACATCATAACTCAGTGACATCATCTACATAAATGAACAGCATAGCAGTGTTCCGGAAGTTTCGTGGTAAATAAATTTTTAACTATTTTCCGGGTATACATACAGTTACAAGACTTATTATTTATTAGCATAGCCTAATAATGTCTTTCGGAAGTGAGATGTCACAAAATATTTTTTATGTTCAACAGCAGCAATACAGGGAGGGGACAGGAGACAAAGCTACACAAAGAAACTAACTCGCTTGCATGTGCGTATCATGACTGACCTGATTGGAATGTAACTTCGAAAACTGTTCTTGTACTTGTAAACAAGCTGCATTCGCCTAACAGTGGGCGTATTTGCAAATATTCTTTACGGTCCAATTAGTAGGTGGAGCATCGTCGCCATAAAATCGGAAACTTCTATCTTGAGACAGTGACGCCTTAAATGCATATAATGATAATATTTAAACACTGTGACTTTGTCGAACTTTCGCCATTGACAGAACAAAGTTGCGTTGAAGAAGTTCAATGCCAGCTTGTTTCTCAGCAAATATATACACACGACTGGTTCGGTGTGCTGTTCTGAGACCGAGAGCCAACCTCTTAAGGTTTCGGTAATGACAGAAATAAACGATCACATGTCAGGGCGTAGTACAGCGACGTATGCTCTGTCAGGCCCCTAAAGTAGTGCGATGGTCAGCAATGATTCATCGAATATCGCATACTGTAAAAACGATAATTAGGCGCGGCAGGACGTTTTCTGTCCATCAGGTGAATCTGTCTGGGAGAGAGACACAATGAAAAGAATGTAGTTACATCGTCCTTGGCAACGCTCGAAGTTTCTGAAACCTTCGCATTATCTCTTTCTTTTGAACAGAGCCTAAAAAACCTCAGCTAGTTCTCGTTCAAAGTTCAAAAACGAAATTCCTAGCCAGAAATACCTCTGGAAGGTTCTTTCCCTCTGTCTGCTCTGAATATAAGCATCAAGATAAGAGCTTTTTTTTTATTTTTTTAGCCTCATTACTTGTTTATTAGAGACGATTCCTCCCTCATTGAAAGCCAGATCGTGTAGGACCATATTGTCATTACGTTCAAAATGGCTCCATCAGTCCTAAGAGTGAGCATTCTTCAACTGTTAAAGTTACAGAATGCAAAGCAACAGTCAACGTTACATCATAAAGTACTGGTGGTTTTTCAATGAAAGTGTACTTATGAGGAAATAGCCATTTATGACGTTGAAGTTACTCCGCTTTTAGACGCTATGACAGAAAGCCTGGTGAAGCATTCATGATTAGCATCAAGAAACACTGAGTATCAGTACTTCCTGGCAAAAATCGAAACGACATAGTAAGAGGCTAGGCAAAATCGAAATTTACTCTTGGAGATATCCTAGTTATAGTTATGCTTCACATTCGCTAGAAATAGGCCGTGTCGTGAGAGCTAACGACAGACAAACCAATTGTCAGTTTCTGGCTGGTGTGTTTGTTCATGTCCTATTACCAACGGGACAGTTCACCAACCATAATGAATCTAAGAATGCTTTTTATCGAGGATCGCGAAGATGTATGAAAAAAAAATACAGGTTCATGATATGATTTAGGATGGAACCTAGACCATGAAATCAACCATGAGTCAAGCTACATATCAAGACGGACCGGTCCCTTGCAGCGGACTTCACCTCGCACTGGGGTGTGCTGGATGACTTCATAAATGGCACTATAACTTACTCTGAACTTCTTCCAAAAGTACTGAGTACTTAAATACGTGAGAACGGTGCTCTCTTAAGGCGGAAAAAGATTCAGATTTTTTCACTCATATAAGTGGAATAAGAAGAAGCGAATTCTCGTTTTAAGGAAGGAACCGTTTCATAGCAACTTGGGAAACTCCTCACTGTCAAAACATATCGACGTAGTTTGTCGGCCTCATCATTTTAATCTGCAAATTAAATGCATGTCGTTTAAGGTGCCTGCCCAAATGATTTGTATTTTCCAGCCTTCAGCGGCAGGTTACAATCTCTCAGTGTTTCTTTATCAGTTCTTAGGAGTTCACCATGCATTTGAGTATCTAATAAGTCTGTTTATAGATGCGTACATATAAATGAGTTCTAAATTTTTATTTAATATGTAGTTATCGTCTGTCATATTTTATTATGGTACAACTCATCGAAGACATTAATTTGCAGTCACAAAAACCTTCAAACAAGGGTATCACGTAGGTATTATTAAAATAGGTATTATTTGAAACAAAAAATCTATTAGCTTATGGAAAGTACCAATCGGCACCACGTTCCAGCTGAGTAGTCACGTGAGTCAACAGAAAATATTTCTATTCTGTTCAACGTTTAATCAAAGCTGGAACAACGAGCGGAACCATCGATCAGCGATACAGCTCAATTTCGCATTTAGATCTTGGAATTTCACGTCTGGAAGTGCATGTAGCCTAGAAGAATCTTCTTGCCAAAACTCGTAGTATTACTGAGCACTTAATTAGTTATAATCGAAGAAACAGGGTTTTGATTATTACCACCTGCCGAGAGAAAACGTCAGTTATCATCAGTCCAGACATAAGAAATCAACGGCATGCTGTAGGTGTCGATGAATCGTCTTTGGACGCCATATGCCTCCTCTGAAAGCTGCTGAAAGTAGCAAGATTGGCGTCGAAATTTCCGGGAGTTCGAAAGGATGTCGAATCACCCCTTAAATCGTGTCTCAATATCACTTCTACATGTCTGAACTCTTCCTCGCTGTTGATATGCTGTTTCTACCTAAGCGGTGGATTCAGTTTCACCGATGAGTGGGATCGCGAGATATTCAGTACCTGTCCTGCCTTGGAAGTCAGTGATTCAGTTTTCATAGCGCCTGTTTGATATTCGTCAAACAGGCATTTTCGATTTAATGGGGCGCAAAACTATCGTGCTGTGGATTTGATGCGGACGACCTGAAGATTGATGCCACATGAGTATCTACGGATAGCGAAAAGAACGGCTGAGAGGGCAAACTCCAAAGTTGCTCAGTTTGGTGGTTAATGAGAGTTCACCGGATATTAGAAACTCTAAACCGAAAAATGTATAAAAATGGTTTATGTATACAGACTGCCAACAAATAAGAGGGTCAATCGGGTGATTAAGCAGCACCGACATTTCGGATCGTCTCTCACGAGCCCTCTTCAGGGTGGTCCGGGCTGACTTGTGCAGTTGGTTGTGTAGTCTACAGCTGCTGTGGCATTTGCAGCCAAGGCTGACCTAGTTATTTGTTTGCGTTGAGTATAAATAAATGGTTTTTATACATTTTTCAGATTTCGGTATGAACACCAAAGTACAAGAAATTACTCATCTTCAAATTATTAGAAACTGAAGCAAATTTAGTAAGAGATAGAGGACTCCTTTGTCAAGAATGATTCTTAACAGGAGTCAAAATTTTGCTCCCATTCCAGACGAGTTCTTTGCACTGCAATTTAGAATGGTGTATCAATGTAACTTTGCATCTCATTTGTAGATCTGATAGTATGAACATTACTACTTGCGAAAGTTTGTATTAATGGTGTCTGCGAGCGTGCTTGGTGCCATAAGCATGACCAGCACTGAAATGGAGACTATAAGTCAGCAAGGACATCCAGCAACAGAGAGAACGTGAGACAGAGCTCAGATACAGTGCCCACATCTACCTGTACTTCCAATTGGTAAAGCGAAAGTACGAAAACTTTTCCTGTACATTGCGCCGGCTACCATGAACCACTAGTGAATAATCGTTTCTCAGCAGGCGTCGCTGACTACCGTCTTGGCGACGCGGTGACGACGACGGTGAAACTCGTTCGCATAGATTTCGAGGCGCTAGCCTAGTAACCGTTTTTCACCGCTTCATCTGTCTTAGCCTTACATTACAACGAACAGACGTACAATTCAGACGCGGTGACCGTGACGACGTTCGAAAGTAGAATTTGGTTGCAGTTCGGGACCCTTCGACGTCTGAGACGACCTCGGCTCGGCCTGTTATGTCGCCGAGGCATGCCTCAACAGTACGCAATTCCAAATGAGGATAGAGTGCAGTGAGGATAAACGGAAGCAGGTTAACTGTTTTCCTCCTTAAAATCAGGCCTGCCTACGTAGAGCGAAGCGTTTCGCACTGACAAATAATCGGTTGGCGATTTCGACGCGGCGCAGTAGCGCTAAAACGATCATCTTTGCTCGTCATAAACTTTGATAAAAGACGACAATTTATCTTGAACAGAAGAAAAACACAGAAAAGTCGCAAGAAGAATGTCCGCTGCACGCAAAACAGCTCCGTTTAACGAGTCTCGCTCATCTCATCCGGAGATATCCAGCGAATGCCGGTGGCATATCATCCTACGAGAAGTCAAAAGCACAAAGCCTATGCGACACCGATGACGTCACTTTAAACCAAAATACCGTACTTTACACTGGCACTTGCATTGCGGTGCCTGGATCGGTGGTTACGGACTGTGAGCAGAAGCAGCGGCAAATTAACAAGACAAATAAAAGTGGCATCATTTGAGCAGGAAATTAAAGAGAAACTTTCACCGTGCTAAGTGCAGTTTGGCGGCTAGAGAAAAAATGAACACAATTTAAGGCAACTTGGCGGCAAGCCGGAGGCGATAGAACTTGAAATTGAAATGTTCAGAGCTTCCCGCGACTACACCTCAATAATAAGTCGGTTTTGGCAAAGCAATCGTCATCAGCGGGTGGACAGGTGGCGCGGCGACTGATAGAGCGGCGTCGAAGTCTGCTTCAGGATGAGGAAGGTTTCTGGGATTTCGACTGACTGGCCGCCATTTCAGTCGTACTCGGAACCTGCAACATCTGCCGTCACGATCATCATCCGTGCTGCACGAGGACGCCACTCATAGCTGTACCTATCGTGAGGAACGATTCACAGGCGATCGATCGATATAATTACGTGTTGGTGGATGAACGTTGGCGACGACGGAGCAAAAGTCATCGTGTGTCCCAGATACTCACTGACGAACGAAACATTACTGCAGCCTGCAGGTAAAAGATTATTGTTGAAAATGCCACCAGCAGAACAACTGTGGATTTTTTTTATTCTTTTCTTACTCCCAATACTCACCACAGACCCTAGGTATCCCATGTGGTGACGTCGAATCATATGATTTCTTGTGCCAAACTCAGATGAGGTCACGAAACTTAATCTAATTAGCACATGGCAAATAAAACGGGTTTCTGTTTTGGGAAGCCGTTCTTTGCATTGTTGACGCAACGTAGGTGAATCAATGATGAAACGCTGCCAAAACGTGAAACGAGCAGCTCAGCACCTGTAAGGATTTGCGAGTTTTAATTGTCGTTCGAAAAAGCACCGCACAACTCTCGTCAGAACTCACTCTCACAAAGCAGAGAATACGTTGAATGCCGTCGTCGATGATAGATCCAAATTGTCGGCGCCGCTTATGACCGCATTAAGTGCTGAAACGTTCATGGAATGACCTTAGCTGAACGATCGATATTTTGTCACTCACGGTCGTGCTTGGCTTTCGATCGCTGGCCATCGACGTTCGTCCTTAGATGCCGCTGCGACGACGATTACGGTTATACTGTAGGAAAGCTGAACGTAGCTCTACCCTTTAATCTGGCAAGATTAAGCAACAGGTTCACGGAACATGGCCGCAACGCAGCGCGATCGTGCTGCAATACACATTCTTGACAGACGGTGATGCCCCCTGATAGGTTGTTGTTGATGCCCCCTGATATCTGATCAGGTGGTTGAAGTAAATATACAAATTCGACTTTAATCAGACCAGTTTATTAGAGTTACTAAAATACCATCAGGGGGGCGGATCATCACGTCGCTGTACCAACAACAGTGATGCTATGAACATCTTATAGCCGTTTACGGCAGCAAGAGTTCGATGAGCGGTCAAAGGTTAGCAAAGGTTAAAATCTATGGGATTTACGCCGGTCTCGTAAGAAAATTTATATTGACTTCTCAAAGACCAGGGCTTAAAGAAATAGTGAAAGACGTATAAAAAAGCTGCATATTTGCCGCATTTAGACCCGTACGTAACGAAAAATATATGGTGCTTAAGATTCTTCTGAAAGAGTATGGCAGCCGTTGGCTCTACCAAAATGTAAATAATTGATAATTTGTTTGGATAATATTCATAATCCATTCTCAGCTTGCCTTCCCTCAGAGCAAGCAACAACGAAAGTATGTGACGGTCTAACAGTGTATTATATACGTCTGTGCCATTGTGATAGCCGTAAATACGTGGCTTGAATTCTTAAATGATTGGCCACCTAAGTTCTCGTATCCATAACTGGTTCAGTGTCCTGCGCCAGTGAAGGCAAAACTGTCGAAATAAGGAAGATCAGCCTTTACTTGGCGATTTGAAAATTTTGCCGCTACCAAATATACAAATTGCCAAAGAAAGTATGTAAAGAATTTATCGCTTTGCCCCTGCATGAAGGCTGATGACATGTAATAGAACTCCTGGTGAATGTTATCAAGAAATTGGAAATTGACATTCTTCATTAGTTACATGGTCCACATCTGGAAAACAGGAACTAAGATACTGCTGAAATAGGTTCATGTCGTTGCCAACGATCTGAACGGAAGACGACATTTGATAGCTGTGATCAGAACAAAGAATAGGTACAGTATCTGCTCTTTAGTGCTTCTTCTGCTCTGCTGTTCATTCTTCCCTTGGTCTGCTAAATGAATAACCTGTTTATTAATAAGGTTGCTTATCCAAAACCTATTCGAGAACATAATAAGGATCGATTGCACTGAACGGGAACTTAGAAATTTCAGGCGCATATTTGGGACCTCATATTTTTTGAAAGAGATATTCCATCGTTCTGCTTGTTTGCCAGCTGCAAGAGCGTTAAGTAATGTTAACCTCTTCTAAATCTAATCTGCACGATGAAATTTAACCAAAGTGCCAAACATTCCTCACGGATTATCAATGTCCACTGCACACAGTGTTCTCATCTAGATCAATGAACAGTGTTTTTCCAGAACTACTTCATATAGGTGAAGTTAAACTGTTGTCTAATGGTTGCCACTGTCTCATTAGTCAATCCTTTTGAAATTTAGCGCGAACTATAACGGAAACCAACGGTTAAGAAAAGGAATAACGAATCATCTACGCTTTGTCGTAGTTAAGATCTAGTACAGTTTTATCGTTTGGCTCTTTTTCCGCCGACCACACCATGAATAGAAAAGTCGGCTTTCCAGAGAGCAACCCTGTTACAGTAAGATCAAACAGGTTCAACGCGGTTTATTGAAAAGTTTAGCTAATTCATTTAAAGAAAAAATGGGTTTAAGATTTTGAGTTTGAGGTGTGGTCATATCCAATCATCTTCGAATGCCTTAGCTTATTTTTCAAGTTAGATAAATAAAATTACAAAAAATTGCAACTGTATAATTTGACTACCGTAATTATGAACGCCATTTACGACCTAGACAAAATTTAAAACTTGCATGTCAGAGAGTACTAAACCATAACGTTTATAATGCTGAATACACAAATGAGTTTACTAGTTATGTTGCAACGGCATGTGCTGTAGTAAAAGTTTAATATGCATGCTTCATACAATAGATCGAGAAGATCATTTGTATAGTTAACCAGTGAGAGGATCGACAGTGGTTGAAGAACGGATTACACAACATTCTTTATTGACGGTAGTATGAGAATCAACGTATATAAAAATATTCATTCAAAACTTGATCTCACATTTACACTGTACACAGCAGCTGACAAAAAAAGTAAACTATGACCAAGCAGAAAAAAGGGCAGTCGATTTTATCCTTGTTAGCCATCGAGGAAGCGTTATGGCTTATTACTAACCAAGAAAAGGCCAGATGATGAAGCAGCGTGAACACTTATGCGCTTTTATCGTTAGCATTGAGTTTTACACATTTCGATTAGATACAGTATTCGTTCAGTGCGGGGCAATGTACTGACGATGGGTCAGCAACAGCATCATATTTGGCCATGGCCAAAAGCCCCCGTGTACACAAGCGATATATGTATGTCACCGGTAGTCGAACTACTTGACAAGGCCCACAACGTCTGACAGAAGATCACTCGTTTCATCGAATGTTAAGGATTGAGAAAGGTGACAACAAGTGCCCTATTATTTTCCAAACCTACAACTCAAAGTCTGGCATTGCGCACAACACGGGTAATTTGCATTCATCAACAATGATGTAGCTCGAAGAAGAGGCAGAGCTTTGACAGGATCATGCAAATATTATCGTCAGAAAAACAAAAGGTCAAGTTTATAACCGTTTGAATGTCGTCATTCCTCACACTTTCATCATGGAGCCGTTTTCGACGCCCATCATCTTATGGCGTGCACGGTGGAGCGCTGATCTCTACTTCGATGCCATTAGTCACAGGTGTCTTGTTTTGGAGGAAGAGACAAAAGCACATATGAGGTAGACATTGTGGGTTACCTCCTTCCCACAGAGGGGTACTCAGTTATCAATCTCAGAAGAAAGGCGACAAATTTGACCGAAGTTTTAACCCACGACTTCTCGGTACTTAGTCCATCGATCTACTGCTAAGTAACAGAAGCAACGTGTATTCAAAATTTGCTGCTCAAAGGAATTTGTGGATAAGGCAAAGATAGCCACTGCTCTGAAATCCAAATTGGCACCTTTGTAGTTCAAAGCCAACCTCTCAGGCCGACCCTGTGCCATTTTGTTAATGGCTTTGTAAAGAAATACCGTTTCAACTTCAATTTTCGAA